ACGAGTTTCAAGTTAAAATAATGAGAACTGGTGCCAGAAACTGATACTGGTTATGAAAAGCGCGTACCGGAAAGGTGCTCCGAAAAATATTATAAAAATATGATAATTCTTGTAAAATTGAATAGGTTAAGAATCCAAAATTTGGGATTAAAATGCTAAGCGTAGCAATTAAAGTTAATACTGTGTGTTTTATTTTAAAGTGGCTATATATACTCTTATGTTGGGCACAAAACCCTAGAAACCAGAATTTCTACGTGAGTGTCTTCTGAACTTTGAGCCTCAAAGCTGCCACCTTGCTCTCCTCCATGAAAACTAATCAAAGAACCATCTTTTCTCCTTGTATCTTCTTCTTTTTGTGCTAAACACTTGGGTGTGAGCTTGGTGAGGGAGAAAGGTGCCATCTTCTGAGTTTTTGGGTGCTGTTTAGTGGTAGTCTAGGGGTTGACTTCATGGTGAGGGTTGAAGGAACCATTGTTATGGTGTTTTGATAACTTCAAGAAGCTATCTTGTGAAGAAAAGAACCACTCTTGTTCACCTTTTTCGTTCTCTTGGCAAGTCAGTACCCTAGGAGCTGAAGAGTGAGCTCCAAGAGCCATTCTTGCTCTGTTTTAAGCTTTGGTAAGTGTCACCAACCTTGATCATGTGTTTTGATGATTAAAAGAGGTGTCTTGGCATGTTTAATGAATTAATCAAGTAACCAACTGTCATATGAACCTAAATGGACCTTAAGATGCATGTTTAAGCTTCTGGAAGTGTTAAAAATGGAACCTTGGAAGGATATCTTCGCGAAAATGAAACTGCATTCTGTCGCGAAATATCCGGATATTTCCAGAGAAATATCCGGATATTGGATATCCGGATATGAGATGTGAAATATCCGGATATTGGATATCCGGATATGTCCCCGAAGAATATCCATATATGTGATATCTGGATATGCCCCCGAGGAATATCCAGATATTCTGGGTTTTCGATGAACAGTAAGGTACTGTTCATACAGAGGTCTTATATGGGTTTGTGGACCCTAGTTTGATGAAGTGGTACTTATATAATAACTTAACTAAGTCAGAATCAATTGATTAAGGGCTTATGGCTTGTGAGGAGCCTTAAGATGTAAATCGTAAAAGGAAAACGTAGTCTTTATGTTTATGCTTATGAGCTACGAATGTTGAAATGCTTGCTGGTCCTAAATCAGATTGTGATCTGCTGTGTGTTGGACTCGAGCTGTGTGGACTCTTGGCTTGGATTGTTAGCTTGCAAGGTAAGCTTTCGTGTCCTCGGTTTAGTCATGTTGTGGTTCCACCATGTCCCATGGGGGTATGGTTGTATGCATGCTGTGTTACATGCTTTTGATGTTTTGGAAATGCTATTGAGCTGTTATATGCTAGTGCCTTTATGATATGCATGTGGTGTTCCACTTATACGGTAAGCCTGAGTATGTAGTACATACAATATGGTGAGGCTGTGGGTGAGGTGCAAGCGGTGTTCCTTGTACTATATGTAGGTATAGACGTATTCCTGCATTTCTCTGGCCAGTAGAATAGTGATAAACACACATGGCATGAATATCTGTTGCACTGCATAGTTTTGGAACTGATATTGATATTACTGCTTTTAGAATTTATATTGCACATGTAAGTGAGCTTGGGGTGGAAGATCCTTGAGGACCCTTTGTCTTACTGAGATTTCTGGTTTAGAGATCTCACTCAACGTTTGGGGAATGCTTATTTCAGGTTCAGGTAATGCGGGGGTTTAGACCTCTAGTGGCAGGAGACCAGAGCTTAGCTGATAGATGTTGCATGTTTATGCTATTATGTTTGATGCTGGATCCTATTTACCGTCTTATGCTTTGAGCTTCAGTTTTTGGATTATTATGTTGAGACTTGGTTGATTATGTTGTTGATTTGGTGAGCATGAGAATTGTCCATGCCACATAGACTCGTTTATGTCTTGTTTTAGTTGGAGTTGTAATAATGTATCAGGATTATTGTCACGACTACGGGTAGTAGATCCGTGACTTAGATACTCACTTTATTATATTATGAGGTATTCAGTTAGCTGTCTTTTGCAATTTACATACAGGCATGATTTTATGAAATTGATTAAGTAATCAACTTGGCTAAGTATAATGACGTCACAATTGAAAAGAAAAAGATATTCCGCATTTTTAATTAAGCGCAACTTAATACGATAGTATGATAACATTACCGGGTATACACGGGGTGTTACAAGACTCATGTTAGTCATTTTGAAAGATTAATGTGGATCTTTTTGAATTTCAGAGGACCATGATTTTGATTATCTCGGTCTATTTTTGAATTCTGAGGATCACAAGTAGACTTTTTTCCTCCTAAGAGATTAAATTGAGACCCGTAATTTTTCTTAAGGACCCAAAATGTTCTATTGTAGTAGTTTTGCTGACTTTTGATTACTTTTTTTTATATTAAGTTAAAGTTTTCTTTTCTTTTTTATTTATATTCTTTTGTATTTTAATATATTTAAAATAAATTTAATTTTTTTTCCTTTATTCTTTTATTCTAAATATGCAGACATTGTCCGCTATTGTTATAGAGTACATAACTATTTTTTATTTGCATAAAATACTGACACGGTTCTTTCTTTTAGCGATTAACCAATGACAGACGCTGACAAAAAATTTGATTTTTTTCTCTGTGCATCGAACGGGTACTGCACTAGTTGATCTAAAGAGAATGACATAAATCATTTCATCACAATAAATGTACACATTCTGTTTTGTTAGTGCAGTTGTTATCTTGCATATTATAATCCATGTAATTAAGCAAAATTTGTGACTCAAGGTGGGAAGTAAAAACCAATGTTGTAAAATTCGAACCGGACTGGCCAGGTCGACCCAAAATTCAGTGAATCGGTCATCTCATTGGATTGGTCAAGTACTAGATTCGGTGCTACCCGGCTAGTTTAGGTGAAAACCGAAGACCAATCGGTTAACCAACGACCCAACTCGGTTTATTAAAAATATAAAATTCAAAAAAAATAAAAAGTTTTCCTAAAAAATTCATAATTGACAAAGTTGAGTGATATGTTGCTTATTGACTTACATAAGTTATGTACTCACAATACTAATATTATCTTAGTTATGTACTATGCAGGAAATTTTGATTTGATTTATAGTTAGAGATGTAGTTTACTGAACTTGAAACACCATTATCATAAATATTATATATTTGTTTGATCCTTTATTGTAGAATAATATATAATTTATTATTTTTTTATAATAAAATATTTAGAATTTATATTATTTTTTGAGTTATTTGAGTATTTTTATAATTTTTTAATATAAATTATTGATTTATATATAATCACCGGGTGATGCGGTTCAACCCAGTGTTAATAAAATAAGACCGACTCGGCCGGGTCGACCCAAAAACCGGTCATATAATCGGTCCGGTTGAAGCAACAGACCGGCCATGCATCAGAACCGATGTGACCCGGTGCGACCCGGCCGATTTTCATGAAAACCAGTGACCCGACCCGGTCCTAAAAAAAAAAATTCCAATTTTTTTCAAAAAACAAATCATAATGGACATATTTGAATATTTTTTTGCTTATTAACTTACATATATTATGTACCAACAACACTAATATTATCTCAATTATGCACTATGCAGAAAATTTTGATTTGATTTATAGTTAGATGTGTCGTTTTTCTGAACCTAAAGTCTCGTATCACGATTATTATATTTTTATTTGATCCTTTATTGAATAATAATATGTGATTTATTATTTTTTATATTAAAATATTTGAAATATTTATAATGTTTTTAGATATTTGAATATGCTCATAATTTTTTAATATAAATTATAAAATTACATATAATTACCGAATCATGCTATTGAACCAGTGACCCACTAGTTGAACGAGTGACTCAGTACCTCAACCGAGTCAATGACCGGGCCGATTTTAATAATATTGATTCAACTAGTGACTTACGGAAAGAATCAGTGACTCAATGCCTTGACCGGATTAATGATCGGGCTGATTTTAATAATATTGGTAAAAACAAATTCAAATAATCGAAAATCTTATTTAATTCATGCTAAAATACTATACACGTGGAGAGTTTGTGAGACAGAAAAAAAGAAAAAGGATATTGAGGGAAATAACATCGTAACCACCTAGCATTCGTAACCTCGTTGTCGTGTGTGCAATTATAACCCAACACCCTATTGGATACAACGCAACGCCACTACGATAAGGTGAGAGTGGATCTTCTCACGTGAAAAAGTGGTCATATTTTTTGATCACAACCATTCATTCATGATAAGATAAGAAAGAGAAAAGTATATAACTTTTGAATGAATGGTTCTGATCAAAAAACATAACCATATAACCACTTTTCCACATGAAAGAATCCAATCCCCCATAAGGTTGCCTCTTATACCCATGGAATGACGATATAAACAAAACAACTATTTTTTTAATGGGTTTGGTGTTTGTCGTTTTAAATGACATAAGTTATGTCATTTTAGGAGAGAGATAGACGCAGAAAAATAGAAATCATGGAAAAAAGAAAGTGGATGGTTTTTTTATTTAAATTTCAAATTTTATGTGTCTGTATCTCTCTTAAAATGACATAACTTTCTGTCATTTAAAATGACAAACACTTTTCTCTTTTTTAATATTTATAAATATAATAACGCAAAATTTCTAGTAATATATTAATATCTGTTGTCTTTTATATTAGGGTTTGTTGTTCGTTAAATTTCATAAATTATGTTATTTTAAGAGAGAGATAGACACAAGAAATAAAAATAATAAAAAAAATAGTCATTTTTTTTAATTTAAATTTTAAATAAAAAATATTTTTTTTGTGTTTATCTCCTTTAGAATGACATAATTTTATGTCATTTAAAATGACAAATAGTTCTCACTTAATATGGCTCTAATAAAAAAATATAAAAAACGTTAGGACAAGGTGGGAGAAAAGGCAAATAAAAATTAAAAAACGCGGTTTCTGTTTCGTGGGTGTCTGACTCTGACTCCTTCTTCAAACTCTCTCTATGTAAAAACCTTAATCAATTCACACGATTTAACTCAAATTTTGCATGGTGTTTTGGAAGAGATGGGTTGTTGTGAGAGCAAAAACGCTGACACCAAGGCAAGTAGAACCGCGCGGTGGCGATCCACGGGCATTGTTGCTTTGCGCGATTCCAAATTGAAGGCAACGAACGCTCTTTTCTTTCTCCTTCTTGTGTTTTTTTATTTTTTGTATTTAATTATTTTCTGCTTGTTTGGTAACATTAAATAAACCGATTGTGTTATTGTTAAGGGTTTTTTTTGTATAAACTTTCATATGCAGTTTTATTCTGTGGCATGGGTTATTTACAGTATCATGGATTAAACCTTGAGAGTGTATTAATATTGTTGTAGTATCTTCTAATATTAATCAATCTTATGTTATTGAGATGAGTGATGCATGTTATGGAGCAGCAGCACTGTGGTCGAGTTAATGATACCTGGGTCACTGCTTGGTGTCCTGTTGTCTTTTTATTCTTTTTTCTTCTTCTTACTTGGAGTTAGGAATTTATACATTTTATTCTTTATCTTGTTATTCTCTTACTTTAAAGTGAAACTTGGCACAACGGACATTGGTGTTGTTGCCATTTGATCCGAAGGTCACAGATTCGATTCATGTAATGAAACTCTTGCAAATGCAAGGTAAGGGAGGGTGCCTACTTTGGACCCTACCCTTCCCTTCCCTTGACCATATGCATATTGGAAGCTTTATAACATCAGGCTGCACTTTTTTTTAGCCTCAGTATGTGTTTATAGCATTGAAACGAACCTTACTTTGTATCATACATTTGATGTACAAGAAAGGATGGGCTGATCGGTTACTTCATGGCCACTTCATGAATACTAGTTCGATTATGCTAGATAGGCAACTTTTATCATATAATCTCCCTTTCTTGTTTGAATTGTGTTACTTACAAAGTAAACTATTTGAGGGTAATTTGTGAGTCTAATTTGATTTCCATAAAAAAACTGGTGTTATGTAATACTCGGTGAGACCTATGTCTAAAATATTTGATGAGGTCATATGGCTTATTGAGAATTTAAAATTTATGCTGATTTACATATAACCAACAAGTTTTCCTTCTTTTTGTGTATTTGTATTTGAATGTGTGCTAGTGTGCCTTTTTGAAACATACTTACCTTGGTACCTTTTGCTCCCCTTCTTAAACAGACATTTCCGGATGAAATTGTTGATTTAGACAGATCTGTACGCACTCTTGACTTAACACATAATCGAATAGGTAAGCAATTTTTTCTTTCTTTCATTTCCTTTTCCTTAAATTTCGGTTAAGAAGCCTTTGTTGGGACGTAGATATAATGATTTTGATCTCAAAGAGAAGTGCTTTTCCTCTGAAGGATTATTATCATTGTTATTGCTGTTATCTTGTCATTAATAGTTCATTTCCTTGACTGCAGTTGACATTCCCGTGGAAATTAACAAATTAATTAATATGCAGCGCCTGGTAAGAACCAAACATTTTACTCTATGACTATAGCATGATAACTTAACTTCTATTGAACGTTTACTGTATACTTTTTGTGACTGAAAACTTTGATGATAGATTTTATCTAGTTCTGTTGAACTATGAAGGGCCAGTAAATTAAATAAGCTGTTACAGATTTTGCTTGAAATTAATAGCTCTCTTTTGTGAATATCAGTATTCCAAACAATTATGGTTGACTTGAATATGTGCAGTTTAGTAATGTAATAATTGTTGATTACTTTTTTCCCAGCAAAGTACCAACAAATTGTGTTTAAACTTTAAAGGATAGTTATACACCATGCTTTATATTCAGATCTATGTGCTATTTCATGTTCAGTTCTTGTGCTGTTAGTGAAACTACCAACTTATATTCTGTTCATTCACAAGCTGGTGATAGAAGGCTTTCAAACCATTAAAAAATAATTGCCCACAGAAGCAAAATAATGGAAAATTGTAGTGCTGACTGGTTGCAAAACCTACAAGCAATTAGGCGTTATAATTGCTTAGTTGGTAGTTGCTACGATCTTATCCTAGTTTCTGTACATGCCTATTTTATATCCCTTGTCGGATCAGACTTAGGCCTGATTGAAGTTTGGCTTCATTCCCACCTCAAACCCTGTCATATTGTTGTTTTTCCTATAGAAGTTTGTCTACTGAATGATTCTAGTAGAATCATTGAATTTTGAGTTTATTTATTCTTTTTGAAACTCATGCTTTTTGGGACACGTGTTATGACTATGAACACTGGGCTACCTTTCATTTATTTTTGCCATGTTAGTGTGTTGGCAGTGGTTGCTTTAACATTTTTAAAAGAACTGTAGTTATATAGCATTAAAGATTGATTACAAAACATATTACATATTGAAGTTGCACTAACATCACAGGTATTAGCGGACAACCTCATCGAGAGACTGCCAGTGAATTTGGGGAAACTCCAATCTCTAAAACTAATGAACCTTGATGGAAATAGAATTACGTCCTTGCCTGATGAATGTAATTCTCTTTTTACTCCAATAAGATATTATTTTAAAGAATGTTATTATTTTATTTGCTTACATGACGTGTATTTGGTGGAACTTTTATTTGTTTTTATGTAAAAACTTACAGTGTATTGTTTTTCTAGTGGGCCAGTTAGTAAGGCTTGAACGCTTATCCATCTCAGGGAATTTGTTAACATCATTGCCGGCGACTATTGGCAGTTTGAGAAATGTAAGTAATTGTACATTTTGAAACCTGAATACCATCTGACTTCTCTATGATTTGGGATTTGCATGCATAAATGCATTAATATTTAGATACGAGTATCATTGCTGCATGATCATAGGAATTTTGAAGAGTTTGAGATTATACTATGCAACATTACTCATTGTAATGTGACACTTTAAATTTTGTCATGTTGTCCTTGTTTTAGCCTGTTTTCATCTAACTGTCAATGCTTCTTGAGAATATATGCTTTCTGCTGACAATGGCTAATCTTCAAAACCATGAAGAGTCTTTAAGTATGCCCTTTTAGAACTCAGGAACTCTTTGATATTTATTATATTTATGTTATCTTAAAATGTCAAATAAATAATAATTTATGCCAGAGAGACGTATGAGTTGGATTTGCATGGGGCTTGGATCATAACCATGCACTCGTAATAAATGAATTGATAGTTTCCTTATAATGTTTTGTTGTATAGTATGGGAAATTTTGATATGAAATGTATACCATTTTTAACTTTCAGAGTATGATACACTGTTTGGTAATGCAGCTGTTACTTTTAAACGTGTCAAATAACAAGTTACAGTCTCTTCCAGAATCTGTTGGGAGTTGCTTCTCTTTGGAAGAATTACAAGCTAATGGTATGCTTCTGATTGACTTGATTTCTTCATGTATACAAGCAAATGCACGTGTTTTTCATGTGTGTGTTTATGTATGCATTTTCTTTCTTTTTTTTTAGGGATGTGTTCTTTCCTTGTGAGTCATGGGTGGAGATTGGAGAGATATATATTTTTTTTTTTTTTTGTGAAGTTTTGTCTACTAAACTGGTTTTATTGATTATTAGCCTGCTGAGGAGGATCCACCCTCATGCTATCTTTGTTTCTCTTCAATGGAAGCTTTGTTTTATGGTAGATTTACATTCAAGATTAGATTACTTTGCAAGTTTGCTTTAAGCTTGAGATTGCTTTTCTGATCTTACATTTTATCTCTAGATTGAAGCTTAGGTGTTTAGACTGCGTCGTGCTTTATAGTTACTTGTCTAGTTTGATTTAGTCAAAAGTCACGATCTGGTTATATGTGGCTATAATTTGAGGATAATGACAATATTTCAGGTTGAAGAATGACTATGGTGACATGCATACCATAAGATTGATTCCCTTGTGATTGACTATTTCTATGATAATCTAATCTTGATCTTCAAAACAATTTGCACCATTTTCCTTGCTATTTGGCTTTATTATGGTTGACTGAAGCTAATTTAAACCTTTTTCTGATCATTTCAGATAATCTTATTGAAGATCTTCCCTCTTCGGTGTGCAATCTCTCTCACTTGAAGTCACTTTGCTTAGATAACAATAATGTGAAGCAGGTAGTAATTTGTGGTTTTAAAACCTTAGTCATGTAATGCTGGACTTGATTCAATTTCACTTGATTGTTTTCTTGTTCTCTTTTATTTATTTTGTTTGTGCATGTTTAGTTTTCCTTTATGATCTTAAAATAATTTATGGACATGAGGACATCTTCCAAGGACTATCCAACTGTAATGTTAAGCCATAGATTGGCCGATCATCGATTGCTTGTAAGTTCCTGTAAAGAACCTTGGGATACACCACCCCAAAAGCTAGCTCAAAGGGTGGGAGTGCTCAAGGCCTTATAAACTTCACATTAGTTGCACATACAACCAATGTGGGACTATATATCTCAACACGCCCCCTCACACGAGAGCCCATTGGGCTTGAAGAGTGGACAATGCAACAGGCCCATCCTACCTGTGCTAAGAAACGCCACAAGAGAAAGTGGGGAGCGGCGAGGTTCTGATACCAAATTGAAAAGAAGTTTTTGTATTTAGATCTTGAATAATTTACATGAGTGAGTATTTATACAAGAAAGAATCGCTAAGAATGACTAAGCGATGACTAAGCGATGACTAATCAATCCTAATCACAATCAATTCTAATCAATCACAATCAATCCTAATAAATCATAATCAATCCTAATTAATAGGAAATAAAAACGGAAACATGTTTGAATTCTGATTTTCTACACTCCCCCTCAAGTTGGGAGGTAAATATTGATCATTCCCAACTTGCCAATCAAGTCTTCGAATGCTGGACGGAAAAAGACGTTGGGAAGGCGGCGCGTGGAGCTCACGCGCCGGAGACTGGCCGCGCATGTGACGGCGCGTGCGGCGGTTGACGGCGTTGGGTCCAGCGGCGGTTGACTCGTCGGATCTTTCTGAGTCGAATGGTCACCTCACTTTCTTGATCGGAGGTCAGTAGACTAGGTTTCTGTGTTGGACAGATTCAAGGAGGTGTTTAGGAGGTGTTTGACGGTGATGGAAGTGTTTGGATGGTAATTTAAGATTTGAATTAGGGTAGGGACGAACCCGCTCTTGATACCATGTAAAGAACCTTGGGATACACCACCCCAAAAGCTAGCTCAAAGGGTGGGAGTGCTCAAGGCCTTATAAACTTCACATTAGTTGCACATACAACCAATGTGGGAATATATATCTCAACAGTTCCCCTAATAGAAATTTGATGATACCCATTGTAATTCTGTATGAATTGGGAAGCAAGTACGTTCGTTAGTCCTTGAAAATATTAGGAAGCATAATCAAAACAGTTAAGGAAGGTTTGGCCTGATTATGTCTGTGGTGAACCTTTCTCAAGAGTATATACAAGGAAGAAAAAGAGGAATGGGCTTTTGGAGACAGATCCAAAAGAGAAAAAAGATATGAGCCAACCCCAGCCCAAACAGATGCATACAACAGAAGCCCAAGGACAAAAGGGGGAGGAGGAACAACTAAAATAATATGGCATGCAACAAGGAGTATGACTCAGCATAACGGTTTTGCTGGTAGCGTAAAACGTGGGTGGTTAGAGGAGAGAGGAAGGAGCGCAAAAGATATAATAAGGGAAGGGTTATTGTAAGAGGGTAAGCAATTTTTTAGTATTCTGGTGTAAGGGAGTGAGGGACTGTGAAGTCCTCTTGGTAGATAATCAGGCAATGTTAGCCGTGATGATATGAGCCCTTTGATTGGGTTAATTTTGCTTGTAAGGTGTCTCTCGTTGTTGAACTTTTAGTTAATTCCATTCAGTAATATTCAGTGCATTTTCATTACGTCCATTGTTGCTGTTTTCTTGCTTACAAATTCTGCTGTGCGTGAGTTGGGTCTCATCAATTGGTATCAAAGCTCCCGGTCCTTGGAGCAGTGAATGGTATTGACGAGAATGGAGAACAGAGTAAAAACGATCGAAAGGAGAACAACCCAGGTGGAAGGGCTGATGCAGGAGATGACGGTCGAAATGCGTCAACTCCGTGAAACGTTCATGGCATATATGAACAGGGAGGATGAGAGGGGAAGAGGAGGAGAGAACAGGGGAGGGAATGGTGGTTTAGGAGGACGACATGGGGGTCATGGGAGAGTTGACGACCGGATGAGGCGATTGGAGGTGCCATTTTTCACCGGAGATGATCCAAACGGGTGGATCTACAGGGCGGAAAGATATTTCCGACTCAACCTGATTCAACCTGAGGAGCAAGTGGAGGCTGCATCCATTTGTATGGAGGGGAGGGCTTTGAACTGGTTCCAGTGGTGGGAAGCACGTAATCCAAACGTGGATTGGGGACAACTTCGAACGGCTCTGTTACAGAGGTTCCACACCTCCACATCAGGGAATCCCTATGAGAGCTTGATGTGCCTCAGACAGACCGGAACGGTGACGGAATACCGCGAGAACTTCGAGATGCTGGCTGTTCCGTTGCGAGGAGCGGACGATGAAGTAATGAAGGCCGCGTTTCTGAACGGGCTTAAGGAGGAGATCCGTGCGGAAGTTAGAATCCAACCAACAACGAACATAGAAGGTATAATGGCTCTGGCCCAAAGGATAGAAGAAAAAGAAATGGTGATGGCGAAGAGGACAGGTCTACTGGCCAAGATTGGGCCGCCCAATAATGGGCTTGGGAACGGGTTTCGCTCACGGCCAGCCTTGACGACCCGAAATGGAAACCAATTCGGAGGCCAAAATGGGGGCAATTTAAGTGGAGTGGCTAATGGGCCGAATCAGAATCAACATGGGCCCAATTCAAATGTCAATAGAGGGGGTGGGTCACAAGGGAATGGAACCCTAGGATCAGGCACGGCTGGAATGAGTGAGGGCCAAGGGTCAAACAATGGGGGAAACAACAGCGGCGGAGACAACCGGTCACGATTCCGACGCCTGAGTGCTGAAGAGATTGCTGAACGACGGCGTAGGAATACGTGTTTCAAATGTGACGCCCCGTACACGTTCGATCATGTCTGTGCAAATCAACATATGCATGTGATGTTGATCGATGGGGATGACGAAGGAGACGCAGCAGTAGAGGAGGCAATCGCGACGGCCATGGAGAACGAGGAGTTACCCATGCGACTGAGCGTTCACAGCATAGTCGGGGTGTCTTCGAATCGATCTTTGGTAGTTTGGGGGAAGATCGAACGTAAGAGAGTCATGGTTCTGATCGATTCTGGCGCCTCACATAATTTCATCGACGTTCAAGTAGCTAGAGAGCTGATGCTGACGGTAGAAGGCACCAAGGGGCAGGTGGTAGAGGTGGGTGACAGACACCGCATCCAGAACAAGGGGGTATGTCGTCAACTGACGCTTGACTTCCCCAATATGTCAGTGGTGCAGAACTTCTACCTCTTCCCTTTGACAGGAGTCGATGTCATCTTGGGATTCGAATGGTTGATGGGTTTGGGGGAGATTCGAGCTAATTTCAAGGAACTCAGCCTCAAGATTCCTACCAACACTGGAATGGTGGAAATTAAAGGCGAACCAGCGTTAACCAGGAGCATGGTTTCCTATAAGAAGATGGGGAAGACATGGAAAAAAGCAGAAGAGAAATATTATGTTCACCTGAGCTTGCTGCAAATAGAGGAAGAGAATCAAATAAAAGTGACAGCAGAAGTTGATCAACTCTTACAAAAATACCAGGATCTTTTCCAACCACTTACGGCATTGCCACCCACCAGGGAGTGTGACCACAAGATCAATTTGATAGAGGGAGCTGCTCCTCCAAATATTAGGCCGTACCGTTATCCTCATTACCATAAGGGAGAGATTGAAAAGTTTGTGAATGAGATGCTATTGTCTGGAATGATCAGGCCAAGTACCAGCCCTTTCTCAAGCCCATTGATTTTGGTCAAGAAGAAGGATGGGAGCTGGAGGTTCTGTGTTGATTACAGAGCGTTAAATCGGGTAACAATCACTGACAAATTCCCTATGCCTGTAATTGATGAATTATTGAATGAATTACATGGAGCAGTGGTTTTTTCTAAGTTAGATTTAAAGTCAGGATACAATCAAATTCGAATGAGGGTGGAGGATATTGCGAAGACAGCATTTCGCACTCACGAGGGTCATTACGAATATCTCGTGATGCCATTTGGGCTTAAGAATGCCCCATCCACATTCCAGGCCTTAATGAATGAAATATTCAGGCCTTTTTTGAGAAAGTTTGTTCTTGTTTTCTTTGATGATATTCTTGTATACAGCAAGGACAGAACCATTCATGTTCAGCATTTAACTCAAGTGTTGGAGGCTCTAAGGCAACACAAATTGACAGCTAACTTGAAGAAATGCAGCTTCGAAGAGACCGAATTGGAATACTTGGGGCATATAATCAGCAAGGAAGGAGTAAAGGCTGATCCCAAGAAAGTAGAAGCTATGCAAGCTTGGCCGAAACCAAGGAATGTGAAAGGAGTAAGGGGATTCCTAGGTATCACGGGTTATTACCGGAGATTTGTGAAAGAGTATGGGATGATTGCAAGGCCACTCACACAATTGTTGAAAAAAGATAATTTCCATTGGGGCACAGAGGCAGATGAGGCATTTGAAAAATTGAAACAGGCTCTGATACATCTCCCTACGTTGGCTTTGCCCAACTTTGACAAACCACTCGTAGTGGAAACTGATGCATCTGGTCTTGGCATCGGGGCTGTTTTGATGCAAGATTCCGTTCCTATAGCTTTTCTTAGTCGAGCTTTCTCTGACAATGAGAAGCACTTGTCGGTGTATGAGCAGGAGCTGAAAGCTATTGTATGTGCAGTGCAGAAATGGAGGCACTATTTGTTGGGGAAGAAGTTTATTATCCGCACTGATCAGAGGAGCCTGAAGTACCTTATGGAGCAGCGAGTTATGCCTGAGAAACAACAAAAATTGGTGGTGAAGTTGTTAGGATTCGACTTTGATATTCAATACCGACTAGGACTTGAAAACAAAGCAGCAGACGCCCTCTCCCGAGTCATGGAATTTAAAGAACTTTCGCTGATAACCAGTCCTAGTCTTCAGTCGTTAACAAAGGAGGTAGAGGCTGATACAATAATTCAGAAAACAATGGTAGAAGTCCTACAACATCCCCAATCTCATCCAGGATATTCAGTAAGTATGGGCAGTTTGTGGTTTAAGGGTCGTCTAGTGATACCGTCCACTTCTGTTCATATTCCCCAATTGTTGCATGAGTTTCATTCCACCCCTTGGGGGGGTCACTCTGGTGAGCTGCGTACGTTTAAGAGGATTGTTGCATTATTTTTTTGGAAGGGCATGAGGAGAGCTGTAGCCAATTTTGTGATGGCTTGTCACATTTGTCAACAACAAAAATATAACCAATTAGCTCCTGCTGGCCTGCTTCAGCCGCTGCCCATTCCACAACAGTTATGGGAGGAAGTCTCCATGGATTTTGTGGGAGGGTTACCTAAGTCCCATGGTATGGATACTATTCTGGTTGTTGTGGATAGGCTCACAAAATATGCTCACTTTATCACCTTAGCACATCCTTTCACTGCACAAGATGAAGCTTCCCTGTTTGTAAAGGATATCATTAGGTTGCATGGTTTCCCTAAAACAATTGTTTCTGATCGAGACAGGATCTTTGTTAGTACCTTTTGGAGGGAAATTTGTAGATTGGCAGGTACCTCCTTGAAATTCAGTTCCGCCTACCATCCTCAAACGGATGGCCAAACTGAAGTAGTTAATAGAACGTTGGAGACATATTTGCGGTGTTTTGCTGGACAACACCCCAAGAGCTGGGTGAAATGGATTCCATGGGCGGAATTTTGGTTTAACACCTCTTTCAATCGTTCAACGCAGATGACACCGTTCAAGGCTTTGTATGGACGTGATCCTCCTCTGCTCGTTCACTTTGGAGAAGGGCATACTAAGCTGGATACATTGGATCAGTTGCTGCAGCATCAGGATGCTCTGTTAGCCGATTTGAAACGGCATCTATGCCATGCTCAGGCACGGATGAAAGTGCAAGCTGATACCCATCGTCGGGAGGTGGAGTTTCAGGTAGGTGACAAGGTGTTTTTGAAGCTCCAACCATACAAGATGAAATCTTTGGCTCGACATGTCAACCACAAACTCAGTCCTAGATTTTATGGACCATTTGAAATCCTGAAAAAGGTGGGCCAAGTAGCATACCGATTACAGCTCCCTGCTCATGCTAAAATACACTCTGTTTTTCATGTTTCCCAACTCAAAAGGGTTGTCAATCCATCCACACCTGTCTTGGATCTTCCCAGAATTCTGACAGATAATTTGGTGTTACAAGTTCAACCAGAGGAGGTGCTGGCTGCGCGTAAATTGTTGAATGGTCAAGTGGAAATTTTGGTGAAATGGAAGGATCTACCTGAATGTGAAAATTCATGGGAACATCTTCAATCTTTCCAGGATCAATTCCCTTATTTTAACCTTGAGGACAGGGTTAATTTTAGGGAGGGTGGTATTGGTGAACCTTTCTCAAGAGTATATACAAGGAAGAAAAAGAGGAATGGGCTTTTGGAGACAGATCTAGAAGAGAAAAAAGATATGAGCCAACCCCAGCCCAAACAGATGCATACAACAGAAGCCCAAGGACAAAAAGGGGAGGAGGAACAACTAAAATAATATGGCATGCAACAAGGAGTATGACTCAGCATAACGGTTTTGCTGGTAGCGTAAAACGTGGGTGGTTAGAGGAGAGAGGAAGGAGCGCAAAAGATATAATAAGGGAAGGGTTATTGTAAGAGGGTAAGCAATTTTTTAGTATTCTGGTGTAAGGGAGTGAGGGACTGTGAAGTCCTCTTGGTAGATAATCAGGCAATGTTAGCCGTGATGATAGGAGCCCTTTGATTGGGTTAATTTTGCTTGTAAGGTGTCTCTCGTTGTTGAACTTTTAGTTAATTCCATTCAGTAATATTCAGTGCATTTTCATTACGTCCATTGTTGCTGTTTTCTTGCTTACAAATTCTGCTGTGCGTGAGTTGGGTCTCATCAGTCTGGTACTGCTATGTTCAGCTACCTGAATTTATCTGTTGGAACAGATCAACACTGACATAAAAAAGACATTAGAGAGTCTATCTTTCATCTGATGGAACTGATTGCCATTATAATGTAGGAGTTTGTCTTGTCAAACTTTTAGCATTTTATAAACTTTGCAGACTTGAATGATTGGTTGCAAATTGTTTGGTTACTATCTTTGCTTCTGAAGAATCCGAGTCCAAAATTTCATGATTGAAACATAAACTTAGAAGTTACTTATTGTTTGGAGTTCTTTGTGTTCACCAAGTTAACTTCCATCACTGCTAAATATATGTTATGCAGTAATGTTTTGACTTAGCTGTAGGGATGTGTAAAATCAATGACTATGGCTTTGACCATTATAATGAACTGTACCTGTTTCTTTTTACGTTAGTTTGCTCCATCCTAGGGAAATGCATATAGTTATTCATGCCATAAGATAATGTGGTTTGAATATCATGAATATCCAGTTTCATTCTTTACACACATGCATGGGCACCACAAGCATTTGTAAGAGGAGGTGATTGAGGGGTCTTAACTTTGAATGACATCTTTCTTAACTACTAGAATTCATGTTGATGGTTTGGAGGACACTGGTGTCATAGTTGTCTATCTTGTAGGCAATAGGCCTTATTGACATAGTATTTTTACAGTGCCTATTGATTATTCTCTTTCCTTTTTTTCTTATTTACTGTTGGCACCAAGTGTTTTTCAAGAGAAATAATTGCAGTAATTAAAGAACACAACAGAAATCACATCGAAGAAAACTATTTTATTAATAGAGGTCATACACTTCATCAGTGATCCAACTCAAGACAGTAAACATGAAATAACAAGAATTAAAAGACTCCACGATAATGACTAGCTCCTCCCCATGGATACCCGATTGGAGAAGGAAACACAGAGGACCACACCTTGCAGTCACTCTCTCACCACCCACACCACTCACCAATATTCTTAACACCCATCCCCTTATTCCTAACTGCCTAATATCCCCTCAACCTTCCCTGCCTCTCTCTCCAATTTCCTCCTCTTCATTGATAGCTTGCCATGTGTCCCCTCCTCTAACTGAATCCCTTTTGTCTTCAGCTCTTCCCTTATGGGCCTTGCGTGTGTAGACTTTGCCATATGATTTGAGAGGCCCATCATTTACAAATCGATGCATTGCATCTAAATCTTTGTTGTTTGCGTCTAGCAATTCCAACCCTGACCGTTTATATTCTAAACCAATTTCCTTATATTTCAAATGTCCTAATTATACTCTGGTTTCCTTCTGGACAGATACCTATGAATTTATTGAAAGATTGCAAAGCTCTTCAGAACATATCACTGCACGGTAATCCTATTTCAATGGATCAATTTCAACAGGTAGGATTTTGTTCCCTTATTACTATTATTATTATTATTATTATTATTTTCTTTTCATTTCTCTATTTTCCTTCTAAATCAATGGAAATGTTCAATTTTCAATGCAATTGAACTATTGATGAATGATATAGATGGATGGGTTTCAAGAGTTTGAAGCAAGGAGGAGAAAGAAGTTTGACAAACAAATTGATTCAAATGTGATGATCAGTTCAAAAGGTCTGGATGAGGGTGTTGATCTATGAAATCGTATCAGGCTTGTTTAGACCACTTGGGTATTTTTCAGTTGTACATTTGGATGAGCCATGGATGTAGCATGGAAGATGGGGTATTTTATCCATGCCTTTTATTTCACATCTGAAATTAGTGTATGGAGATCCATGTGTCACATTGTATATGATTCCTACTTTTTTCTTCCTACAAGTTTACCTTTGCCATTATCCAGCGTTCTTCGAAAGATATCATCATACCGGTTTTGAAGCCATTTTGTTGATAATGAAAGGTGGTATGTATCATGGCAGCTGTAAAATAAGACAGCTTTTGATGTAATGTGGAAGGCACTGTATTCCTTGCCCCTTAATTATCTCAAGTGAAATAGAATGCTAAGAATCCTGTGTTGCTTTGTGTCATACTCCTACTCTGGTACCTTGTTTGCCTGCAAGTATGCTGGCTTCAGCAGAAAAAAAGTCACTACTTTGGGTGTAAATTGTTCGAGACATTTAAGACTGTAATATTTCAGAAGGGAAAAAAAGCAGTCATAACTAATGAGGCCTTTAGAATGATTAAGGTTTACTGTTTATGATTTAAGGAAAGTAATCACAAGTGCGTCTTGAGAAAATAGTTGTTTTTTCTCTAGGTTTGCTTCAAAGCCTTGGTGGGTGATCATGAAGCCTATGAATTCTCTCACTTGGAACCCCGAGCATACATTTTGGGGATCTATGATCAAAATGTCACGTTTTATCAAATTTTTTATCCAAATGTAACGCGAATAGTATTTTTTACCAGACTGTCACGTGCTATGTTGCACCGACACCGACACGGGATACGAAACGACACGACACTCTTATACGTTAATTCTAAAAAATATTAATTTTTGACACGTTAGGACACGTTTTGATATTATATAATATTTTTAATATATGTGGTGTATATTATATTTAGTATTCAATAATTTAATAAAAAATAAAACTAAACTTATAATACCCATCAATTTTGTAAAGAAACATAGTATATCCAAAATGTTTATATTAAACTCAATAAAATCGTAATCGTAATCTAACGAATCTAATAGCTAGAACTCAAAATGCAACGCGATGTAACCTTTGTACCTTTTTTGAGTCTTTGCAACGAGTATTGGAGTATCGGGAAGAGACGGAGTGTCGGTGAGTGTCAGAAAGTGTCGGACACGACACGTCAGGATTTTTGAAGTGTCGGTGCTTCATAGGTCACGTGTCATAATTCGCTACCACGGGTAGCGAATTTCGTGGCCAATAATTTCGTGACACGTGGCTATATTGCAGACCAAATTTGCTATCACTGGTAGCGAATTATAACATGTCAGCTTTTTCCTGCGAAAGTGTGCTACGTGTCAAAAAATTATTGGCAAACATAATTTGCTACCAGTCGTAGCGAATTATGCCTACGTGGCAGTCTAGTAAAAAGTAATGTTCGCGTGGCATTTGGGTAAATTTCTTGCCAAAAAGTGGCATTTTGGTCAAAGTTTCCATATTGTGGTGGGTTCAGATGCATGTTGTACTTGCGTATGTTTGTATATAGTGTAAAGAATCAATTCAACCCAAAAGCTTAAGTTGTTGGGTGGGGCTATATTAATGGTTTTATATATCTCAACACATCTTCTCACACGAGAGTTCACTGGACTTGAAGGGTGGACAATGCACAGGCCCACCTACCTGTGCGAAGAAAGAAATTTCACTAGAAAGAAAGTGGGCGGCGGTGAAGATCGAACTCGGTACACCAAGGCTCTGATACCATGTAAAGAACCAATGCAACCCAAAAACTTAAGCTGTTGGGTGAGGCTACATTAATGACATATAGTAATTTACACCACCATGTCATCCAAATGAACTTTTAGGGTCTGTTCTATCTATTCATTGAATCGGTTGTCCACTCTAATCCTCGGTAATTTGTCCTTGCATTTTTTAGGCCTAAAGGAATCACCCAGTTTCCATTTTCAGTCATGATCACTTTTCGTTATTTGTGGATACATTTTAGTCCGGTTGTAGGCTTGTAGCTTATGAATACGTCCATGCATGAAGCTGAGGTGTTTATTGTCTGATGCCTTATCTACTAGCTTGCCAGTTGCCTTTTTTAGGCCAAAGGGAATCACCCTAGGTATATTTAAGCAACTTAAATCATGTGATTAAAGCAGAGAAATCACTAAAACATTTTAAAAATAGGCAAATGATTAAAAGTTTATTGTTTGTATGGTACATATGTTTCGAATGCAAACATACACACTTCGATTTTGTTTTTCTCAAATAAAATAAGGGAAATATTATTGTTATGCAACATAAGATAATATCTCTTCCTTATATACTCATTGATTTTTATGCAGTTTAATTTTTTATTTTTTTTATAAGTGAGTGCACTCCATTTATGATTGTTTCTATGGTAGGAGAAAATTACTCTCATACAATATGCGATTAATAAAGGAGAAAAATATTTGTCCTTTTAAAGAATCTAACCTTATATCATTTTAGATCATAACCGTTAATTTCTGTCAGTCAACGATTAGGATTTATTAGATTTTATTGTGAATTATTAATAAATTTAACCCAATAAATCGTAACCGTTGATTGACGAAAATCAACGGTTAGGATCTAAAATGAGATATATTTAGATCCTTTCATAGAACAAATACTTTTCCCTTAATAAAGTCCGTAAAATAATATACGTTGCTGTTTGTAGTGCCTATGTTTTATTGTTATTAAAAAAGTAATTAGCATGGGCTTCAAAATATTACGTTTTATAAAGAAAAAAAAATTGTTTTATTTTATATGTTACTTTACATTATCAATAATGCATTTTTTTATTTTTGAATTCTGTCTTTATCTCTTAGCAGTTAGCATTTCCCCTAAATGAAATGAAAGAGAGTATTAAGTGGAGAGTCCAAGTAGTTAAATTTCTCTCAAATTTGGGAACATCGATCAAAGTTTTACTTTTTTGGCAAATTTTTTATCCAAACACCACGCGAACAATATTTTTTACCATATTGTCACGCGACATAATTCATTACGACTGGTAGCGAATTACATTCGTCAACGATTTTGTGACACGTGACACATTTTCACAGAAAAAAACTGACTGGACGTAATTCGCTACTAGTGATAACGAATTTGGTACGCAATGTGGCCACATGTCACGAAATCATTGGCAAACGTAATTTGCTACTAGTCATAGCGAATTACGTCACATGGCAGTCTGGTAAAAAGTAATGTTTGCGTGGCAGTTGAGTAAAAAATTTGCCAAACAATGGCACTTTGGTCACTAATCCTAAAATTTGAGTATATTTAATAACTTTTTTAATACATAAAACCTATCTTGCACCGACACGCGACATGATATTACACGATAGCCGACACGTTAATTCTAAAAAAATATTAGATTTCAATATGTTAGGACCTTTTTTGATATTAAATAATATTTTTAATATATATAATATAGTTTATATTTAATACATATTGCAGCTCATAATAAGTCATATAACTAATCAAATATTTAATTTTCATAACATAAATATAAAGCAAAAATAATTTTTTATGCCTTGTTAGTTTTTCATGTCAAATTCCATAACAGAAAGTATTTGATGTATAAATTAATTTTTTATGTTTAGTTAAAAAGATAAAATAAAATTTTATTTTTATTTTTATGAACATTGATGCATGTTGGAAAACATTGAGCGCGTGTCGGATACATGTCAAAAAACGTTAACTGCGTGTCAGATGCGTGTCGAAAAACATTTTAACTGCGTGTTGAAAAATGTTGGCCGCGTGTCGGAACATTAACCACATGTCCTAAAATATTGTCCACGTGTTGGACACATGTCGAAACGTGTCCGTGTTCGTGTCCGACATGACATATTCAGTGGCGGAGCCAGTCTCCAACCGGAGCTCAGGCCAAAATATTATGGGTATTTATTTTTCTTAATTTTAGTTAGTTCATATCATAATATATTTAAATTATATTAAATACAAAACACCTGAGCATGAAGTATAAAAAAGAATTATAATTTTATTGAATATAATTTAATTTTTTTATATAAATAGAAATGAAACACATAACTTGATACAACTTACTCAGATCTCTCACCAAATATATTTTAATTTTTTGATAGGACCAAATTACAATTTTAGATTGGGCCAAATTATAATTAATTATATAATTATATAATAGGTATAATTTATTAAAATTTAGCCCGAATCGAGACAACACTCAAATAGCACGTGGCTCCGCCACTAGACCTATTTGTTTTTTCAAATGTGTGTATCCGTGCGCTTCTAAGCTTAAAACCTCAAGTCAATGGTATTTTAAAATGGAAGTTGTATTCCGGTGTATTTGTAAAAATAAAAAAGAAAAAAAATTACTTAGTCAGTGGAGAATAAAGTTTTCTTTATTGAGCTCAAAATGACGTTATTTTAGATTATAAGATTAAAAAATTTTAATGATAAAAATTACTATAACACTGCAATATGTTAGAATTATAAAAATATTTTGATTTTCGCTCCAAAATAATATCATTTTGAGATCACCGAAAATAACTTATTTTCGTTGATAGGAGAAATCCTATATTTTTTGTGTTGCTTGCTTTTTGATAACTAACTAAATATTTCGTTATAGTCACCATTTAATTTTACTAACAAGAGAGAAAAACATTACAAAGTTTTTATTAAAGATTACATACTAAAAAAATTTACAAAATTATAAATTATAAACTTAAAAAACAATGCCATATCTCTGTAATACCGAAAACAACCCTCATATCCTTTAGTTGAAGTACAATTTTTTTTTAATACAATCCATATAAAGAACAATAACAAGGTGTTGTGAAAATTAATAATAAATACAAATAGGATTCATTTTTTTTTGGGTGAATGTAAATAGATTACTTTCGTTGAATCCAAAATGATTGACAAAAATTAAAGTATTTTTATAATTATAATTTATTTTAAGATTTAATAATTTTTATCATTATAATTTTTTAATTTTTTAACTCAAAATGTCATTTTGAAAATGAGTATAAATAATTTATTTATATTTATTTTAAGAGGTAGGTTATACTTACAACTTTTTTTTACAACTTCTTACAACCATATCTTAACACCGTTGATTTTCGTCAATCAACAATTATGATTTTCGTAAATTAAACTCATTAATTAATTATTAATTCACAATAAATAATAATCATTGATTGACGAAAATCAACGATATTAAGATATAATTGTAAAAGATTATAAAAAAAAATTATAAGTATAATTCATCTTATTAAAATAATAAAAAGTATCCCCGGATTATTGTCCCCAGATTCTCCCACGCGCATAAACCACGTTGGCCCATAAAAGGGAAGAGTAAAAAAAAAAAAAATACATAAAACCAACCTCTCATTGCACGCCACGTGTCAGAACACCCTTCAGCAATGATAATTATGATTCCGAATCTACCCTCAAGCTCGTTCCCACGCTGTCCCATATATACCGCACTCGCTTCGCGTGCTTCTCTCATCTCTCACCCTCACACACACACCACAAACACGAGGGGCATTTCCTATAATTCACACTACAGTATACGGTGCCGTTCGATCACTTTTTTCCTTTCTCGAACAAAACTCAAAAAAAAAAAAAAAACAAAAAAAAAACAGCTAGCCCTAGCTTTTCCCCCGTTTACTCTTTAGCCGCGTTTTCCGATCTCGATTCCCTTTTATTTCTCCTTCGATTCGATCTCCAATTTCGCCTCCACCTCTCCAATCGATGCGACCTTCCACCCGTTCTTGATTTCCTGCACCGATCGACCCCAATTTTGTCCCTATCCGTTCACGGTGTCATTCCTTAGGGTTTGGGTCGTGGAATATTCTTGATCTGTCTTTCCGAATTAGGGATCTGAGGAATTAAAATAAGAGATTTTGTTTTTTATTTGATTTGGGTCCTGTTTCCTCCGATTTTGTGTATATTAATTTTGGCGTGTGTTTGATTAGGGTTCGATCCTTCAATTACTTGTTTGGATCGTCAGATCTCGCGTCGCTGAATCCGATTCGGTGTGAATCGTAATAATTGTCCATCGATAAGACGTAATTTTTTTTGTTCTCGTTGGATTCGTGATAGATCTAGGGTTAGGGTTTCCTAAAATTGGGGCTTTTGTTGTTTACTTCCGATTCAGCAGTTTGCGATATAATTTGACGGAGACTGGTTTAAGGTATAATAAATATTATTATTATTATTATTATTATTTTATTCGTGACAATTATTTTAATTTTTCTGAATTTTTTTGCAATTTATTTTCTGGTATTTTATTTTTAAATTTTCTGATAAAAGCTCTGGGTGTAACATGGGCATCTGCTTTTTTATTGTAACTAATGGCAATTTACTAAAGTGTCCTTAGATGAAATAATTGCTCTATACGGAAATATGGTGCTCTCTCTGCTCTGTTTATAACAAGGAAATGGTGCCTCATTTAATGGGCCCACTAGTAGCCTCTAATGATGATGATATTAATATTAAAATGTTACAGTGAATTGAATAGAAGATATTTTTATCGAGAACATGGGGGTCAACGTTTAGTCATCTACTAACTGCTAATACAATGTGGCCGTTAAGGAATATTTTGTCTTGCTTCTAAGAATGTTTTTCTTGATGACGCAAGGTGGAATAGTAGTATGTTTTATTGAAAAGAGTTCTTTAATAGGCTCAATTGATTTGTTTAGTAGCAGTTTTCTTTGTTGGCAAACTAACTGGTGCATGTAGTTTTGAAGCGTCTCTCTTTGAATAATGTGTTGGAGGGTTGCAAACCAATATTAGATATTGGTTTAGTAGTTTGAGTGAGATTCTGACAAAGGAGGATTGTGTAGCTTTTTGATTTACGTAATATTCTGTATCCAGCCTTGGTATTTGTTGTGCAAATATTTGGAATGTGGGATCAATTGTCTGGTATTTCTAAGAGACTGGTTTTCATGTTTATGAAAAATACTGAGATATGTTGAAGGTGTTTCACTGAATATTCAAAGCAGACAAATTTACATTTCATGCTCCATTCCTCATCCCAAAATATTTCACTTTTTAGTTGCTTTTGAACTATCTTATTGTTTGTGTTGATGCATGAATACTAAATAATCACTTTGATGCTTGTTGTGTGAGGCAAGCTTGTCTTACTCTTTATTGAATTCTGTCCTGCAGCTAATCATGGTGCAGAAGCGTCCTTTTGAAGCTGAGGAAATACTAGAGGTGTCCTTCAAACGCCCAAAGCATGCAGGACCCATCAATCAGCTTGTTTCATTATCAGAACCTATTTTTCCTGATGATGATTGCCATACCCACATGGCTAAAACTTCAGGTGGGAGTTTAGTTGACGATCTCTCCAAGGTTGAGAATCAACTGTGCAATTTGAAAATAAAAATATGCACATTTCAACTAGGTTCAAGTTTGTGATTATTAAACTTTAGATAATTACTGAGGTTCAGCTCAGCTTTATTAGTAGTAAACCCATTAGTAGTTTCAAGTCTGCGCTGCAAACTTACTCAACATGTCCTATTTTATTTGGTTTTTTTAGGCGATTTTACTATATTACCTATTAGGGGATAGATAATAACTTGGCTTCTTGTCTCTGTTTTTTTTACGTAATGTTTGTCTGTTAAAATTTGAAAATATAAATATGCACATTTCAACTAGGTTCAAGTTTGTGATTATTAAACTTTAGATAATTACTGAGGTTCAGCTCAGCTTTATTAGTAGTAAACCCATTAGTAGTTTCAAGTCTGCGCTGCAAACTTACTCAACATGTCCTATTTTATTTGGTTTTTTTAGGCGATTTTACTATATTACCTATTAGGGGATAGATAATAACTTGGCTTCTTGTGTCTGTTTTTTTTACGTAATGTTTGTCTGTTAAAATTTTGGTATTAGTCACTTGTTTATTGCTTGAAAATGAAAAATACATCTGAAGATAGTATGAAGAGGCATTTGAATGCTACTGTCTTCTGACATCAGATTGTACTTGCCTGGAGATGGGCAAATTGAAGGACATTTGATGTTTGATGCTTCCAATTTTTTGTTTAAAAAAATTCCACAGAATGCATTTTGACCTAGTCTACATTGTAATTGTAGAGGGCTGGTGTACACAAGGTAGTAGTGAAGGTAATGATAAGTATGCTGGTGAAATTTATGGTGAGCTTTGTAGAGGGGCTGGGGACTCTGAAACAAGCTTTCCTGTAGGTATACCTGTTTCTACTTGGGCCACCAGTAGCACAGTTGAAGAAGATCTCCGATCTGAACCACCTGAACCACCTGTACATCTTGCTCTTTATCCTGAGTATTTAAGTCCAGAGCGACCAATAAGGACATTAACTCGCTACGAGGACATCTATTCCATACTCCTTGAAGACTCTCCTCGCAAACTTGTATCTGTTGGATCTAATCATCAAGCTGATGTTCCAGCATGGGATTTTTCGGGTGCCTCTATTAGACCAAATGCCTATGAAGTTGAGGAAAGACTGATGGGGACTTGTGTAATACCTATGCCTCACATGGAATTATCTGGCGATGATAATGAAGAGGTTGGAAAGGGCAGAACTGATTGTAGCTGTGAAGACGGGGGATCCGTGAGATGTGTCAGACAACATATAGTGGAGGAAAGAGAAAAACTTATAAAAACCTTTGGGCCTGAGAAATTCACCAAATTGGGGTTTGCTGACATGGGAGAACAAGTGGCAGAAAAATGGAGTTTAGCGGATGAACAACTATTCCACGAGGTTGTCTTCAATAATCCAGCATCCATCGACAAAAACTTCTGGTCCTATCTTTCCATTGTTTTTCCTTCACTAACCAAAAGGGAAATAGTGAGTTACTACTTTAATGTCTTCATGCTTCGAAGGCGGGGAGAGCAGAACAGGAATGACCTATTGAACATTGACAGTGATAATGATGAATGGGAAGGTATTGATGGCAATGAGATTGCAACTCGAGAGGAAGATGAGGAGGACTCTCTTTCTGAGTCCCCTGTCTGTCAAGATGATACTTGTATTAATAATTGCCACAATAATGACCTGCAAGATTATGATGAGTATGTAGCAGATGAAATTTGTGCTGCTAATGGAACTGTAGATATTACAGAGAGAAACATTGATGATGATTCCAAATATGATACTGTAGAGATGCATCACTCTAGTGGTTCTCCTTCTCCAATTCAACCCCAAGATGTATGTGATGAAAAAGTTAATGATTCATGCACATCAGCAAACACAGGGGTCACCTCCCGGGAGACCAAGGTTAAGACTGAGAATGGTGATCATTGGTGTGGTAACTATAATGAGGTAAGCAATGGTTATAGTCAAGGGTATGTTTTTGAGCCTTCTGATGCTAAAGTGTGGGATTCTGGCTTTGTGTCTTGCTCTAAAAATAAGATTGACTTCTTACCAACATGCAACATGATAGAAGAGGTTTTTGGAGTTGGGCCAAGGCAAGACGTGAGAAGAGCTTGAGCATCCTAGAGTGAATTTCAGTTAGCATTATTTGCCAAGGTGATGAGATTTCGACTTTTCTTTTGTATATTTGACATTAGATTGAAAAAGTAACCTTCATTGTAAAATAGTATTTTGGAAGGTGATTAGGTTTTCGAGCCATGTCTCATTTATTCTTCTCACGTCCTTTTGGAACTGTAAAATTTCTTATTCCTTAATTTTATTATAGTTTCCGCTATGGGGTGGGATCTAAGGGGGGATAATTGGTGGAAGAAAAACCATCAAGGTTGTAAGAGCATCCATTTCCGAACTGTCATTTGGCATTATTAAATCTTTAATGGAAATTCTTACTCGTATATTTGCGTTCATTAGTTTAGTTGGAGATTTGGAGCTTAGGTGAACAATTATGTGTGGATCTCTGTTGATTTTTTTGTTTCCTATATTTTTAAGGGAATACTAAATTGATTCTAATCTTTTGGGGATGCTTCGGCCACCATATTGATCGTCGCCATGGTGTTGGTTTCTTCAATCGGCCATCGATCGATCACAAACACATCCATTTGGCTTTGAATGTCCATCTTTTTTGCTTCTTTTTAATTTTTTATTATAATTTTACAATATATTGAAAAATATACAAAATATTGAAATAAAAATCAATGAAGAAATCTAATCACAATGGATTAGTCTCCTTGTTACAATTCCAAAAGAATACACAGAAATCTCCACATGGATTAAAGCCAAATCCAGCATTGATTTTTATGAAAAGAATTATAAAAGACACACAAATCATATGACCAACAAATATAGAATTCTACGTGTCATATTACATCAATAAACACAAAACAACTAAATTCACACAAAAAACACACAACCCGTGTAACATCCCACGTAATTAGGAACAATACATAAAATGCTATTAGGAATAAGGATGCATGTGTGGAATTTGAATTATGTGTTAATACATGTATTGTTTGCGAATTATATAGTTATTTTCACTAGAGAATTATTTGAATTACCATGGTAAGTGAGTATTTATTTTAGGCATGTGAAACTTTAGTTAAAAGGTATAGGAATAAATTAATTATAACATATAGAAAGATTAATAATACTTAAAAGGCTTGGGAACAAATAATTGAGTGGGCTAGTGCATGAATTAGGAGAGTCATTGGACATGTAATTTTGGACCCAAACCATGGGTTGGTTAACGGCCCATGAGCCTTAGGAGGGACTTAGTTTCAGCCCTAAACCCTTGTTTATCCTAGCCCTATCTTAAGAATCCCACGAGGCAGCCATGATTGGCAAAGGATCAACACATGACAAACAATTTAGCCAACCTACATCCCCTTGTTCCTAGCGCTACATTGGGCAGAAAACAAGCTGATGGCTTGTGCCACTAGGCAATCTTGAGTCAGCCTTTTAACATGCATCCAATATGAGTAGAGAAGTCAGTTTACATGTCAATTAATTGGGCAGAGAACTCACACATCTTACATCTTCTAGTGCGCATGAAATGAGGGAGAGGGAGCCAAGTTATTCTGGTCTTTACTAACCCTTGTAATCAGCTTTCAAAACCCCACTCTTTCCCTCTCAAGCGCTGAATGTGTAGAGTATAGGTTGAAAACTTATCTTGATGAAACAGAACAAAGCCTAGCCTCACCATCTTGCCTCCTTTCCCCCTAAAACCGTGAGCTGTGAGGAGTAAAAGACCTCAAGAAAAATTACATACTATCCTCTCCATCCTTGCCAAAACCGTGACCATCTCCATAGAACACCACCACCATAGTTGCTAGTACAATCTTTCTTACTTTTTTCCCAACTTCTCCTAGCTTGTAACCGTGAGCTCCATGAGCAGGAAGCAAGGATAGCTCAGCGTTTTCTTCTCCCTTCCTTGCTGGCCGAAGACTTCTTTCAAGGAGGTGAGTATTTTCTCTTCTCCTGGTCCCTCTCTACACACGAATGGGCTCTCATGGGTTGCTCTTTTGAATGAACAAGGTTCTGCGTTGTTGAGTTATCTTCCCCATTGCATGTGCTTGGGGCTGAAGCTCTTGGAACGTTGGAAGGAAAAAGCTGAATCCTTGTTCGATTGGTAGCGTTGGTGTGTAGAGTCAAGAAACCGTAAGTTCGTCTCAAACCTTCCCTTGTTTCCTTGTGGTTCTGCCGTGTTGCATGATAGGATAAGTCTATGCGTTTTGTCATTTCCTTTCTGGTTGATTCTGCCCTTTTGTACCAATTTTATGGAGTTTGGAATATAAGCTCCCTTGGTAGTTATGCTGTTTCGTTGAACTTGGAATAGGTAGCTGCTGTTTCATGTTTTAATTTAAATTGACAGCATGCATTAGGGCCTTTTTAGCGCTCCATGGATGAATAGAATAGAAAATCTGGATTTATATCATGAGACTATTTTTAATGTTGAAGCTCTTATTGTCTCCTATGTCACGTAGGAAATGTTTTATAAAAGAAAAATTTTAGGCATCTAAAAATGGGAAGAAACTGGTTCTGTATGTATGGAACTTTGTCGCTGTTAACCTTTGGTAATGTAATGTGAAGTCAGAATTTGCTTAGGGTAAGAAGCATGGAAAACCGAATGGGGATACATGGGAGAACCTTGAATTTTGCTACTGCATCAAGTTAGAAAAAGGAATTGAGGTCAGAAAAATTAATGAGTAAAAGACTCTAGAAACCGTGTAAAATGCTAAGGCTAGTAGGCATGTCTAGTGCTTGTAAAATTGTAAGAGCCACCGTTGAAATTCTGTTTGGTTTTTCTGCTTGATTAGGTGCGCGCATAACCCTTGAGTGTGGATTGATTTCGCTGCTGTTTGGTAAATAGAATTGTGGCACTCGAGGTAAGTGTTAGGTGGTATTACCTAATGTGACTATTAGCTAGTGTATAGAATTGTGAATTGTTGCTCACATGTGCCTTGGATTCATATTCCGTATATGTTACATGTATTCTGCCTTTGAACGCATTACGATTCATATTCCGTATATGTTACAATGATGATCTAGTCATGCATATGCATATCATAATTCATCTGTTTCTTTTTGTGTGTGGAGCATATCATGGCATACATGCACGAATTTCATACTGCTCATAGACTAAGAATATTTATATAAGTAAGCATACGTTTGAGCACGCATCATATAGACATCCCTCCGGTACCAGGGTATGAGACACTTGGCTTCCGTTCGCATAGGCCACAGTTGGAATTCACCTTTGAGAAGCCATTATGGAATATCCACTGTGTATGTTAGTACGTGCACAACGGTGCTATGAACGTACCTTATGAAGGCGTTATATACGCACTATGATGATATGTTAAACAATTGATCGAATAAGTTAAAATGTTGATGCGACTGTTTTGGAATTCTGTGCCTAGTTTAATATTGTTGCATTATTGGTTTTGCTATCACACTACTGAGATGTTTCTCACCCTTTTTGGGGCTCAATTTTTATAAAATTGCAGGAGGACGGAAAAGTATATGATGACGTTGTTAGTTGGATAATTGCTGTTTACTGCTGCTGTTTGGGATTTTTGCTGTTGTCTGCTTGTCTTATGGATGTTAACTGTTTGTCTGTTGGATGACTGTATTCTTGTAATATTTTGGGGAAGTTTGGATTACTGTTGGAAGCATGATTTAGCTTCTGTTTTACGATTTTTATAGTCGGTTTGCACTTTGGAAAAATTCTGGAAACTTTTTGCGAAAACTATTTCTTAAAGTTTTGAATGTAGCTTTATAAACTGTTTTGCGAGCACTTTGCAAGTTATATTTACTAGGGCTACAGCTTCCGAATTGCTTATAATTTATATGCGCGCGAAGCCCCACATGTCTAGTTTCTGATTATATAAATTTTACAATGAAATTCTGAAAGCACGATTTATTATGATTTTTGCACTAAGACAGGTTTTTCAGGAAAACAATTATTTCAGCAAGCCATGTTATTCACTAAGTTTTCACACTGCTTTAATTTCTTTTGACCAGATTTGAATACGAAATTTTAATGAGACGAAAAACAAATTTTTCGAACTTATCCGCTAATATTACGACTCTAATCCGCTTAGCAGACAACTCCCTTGGATGCATACAGGGGAGGGTGTCACAACCCGACTCTGATACTGTTTATTGGTGCAATTGGATCTATGGAAACATAAAGACCGTTGTGGTTTGAAATGCAATGAGTCATTATTGTTCTTTGTAATATCAAATCATACCACTTGGTGGTTAGACCCACGAGGAAACCAGTTGTGTAGGTATGGTAATCCTTTTTACCTCTGCTGCCAAGAAATCTCCTCCTTTTCTTCATAGCATGAACAAGTTTTCTTGCTAAAGATTGCTATAGGAAAGTTTTCAAGACTATTTTCAAGGGAGAGGAGTGTGTGGGCACTCTAAGGTTTCAGTTCTCAGATCTCACAACAACAACACTGGAGGCTGATGACTAAAGTGAGACTATTAATAAGGGCATCTAGAAATTCTAACCCTAGCTTCTTAGGCTCTTCTTATACATTGAACCCAATTAGACTTTTGGTAAAAAAAACACAAATCCAACAGTTAAACCTAGGGTACCAAAATATAAAGAAAGACTAAAATGCTATAATGGTGAACTTATAACACAACCACAATCGCCATTTAAAAGACAGGTATATGTCTGGTCCATAAAATTTTATTATCTAAAACAAATTTCCCTTTTCCAACATGTAAATTTAATGATTCTTTTTGAGTATCTCCAAAGCATTGCTGGTGATAAACTTGCTCCTAACACATGCACCATTATCACTTATATGTCTGTGAAGCAATGCATGTACCTTTTATCACTTATATATTTAACGGGAAATTTTACTTTCATATTGTATGAGATTGATATCTCATATTGCACTTACATCGAAAAATATGCCTCTTTTTTTTCTTTTTTTAAATTAGTGGGGCCCATTTCATTTGTCTCTCAACATAATAAAACTTCTCTCCTATTAAATGAGAGAAGTAATTCCCATATTTTATAAGTCTATAGTCTTATTTTCCTCTGTTTCTCTATTTTTCAGCAATCTCATCCATTTTTAATATATTTTTGTGAGGGTAACCACTCATTTTTAACTGAACCTTTCTGGAAAAGAGGGTTAAGCTATAAGGCTCCAAACTCCACAATTACTAGCTTGTGACTTGATTAAAACTCATAATGTTTATAACAAATTAGTATCTGCCACTGTTTAATTACCCACCGAAAAAAAAGGGTGCTATTTTCTAATCATTCGAGAACTTCAATCAATGATATGTCAGCCATATCTAAACTGCCTAATAAAAAATTGAAACCTTAGCAAAGTGGCTAAGATATCTATTACGAGGAAGGATATTCTTATTACCAAATTTTTTTACTACCAACTTACTACTTATCTAATCACCATTGTATCAAAGAGAGAGAATGCTAAAAAGTTTTTGAAAAAAGAGAAAATGTTGATCCAATGGTGATTAGATAGGTAGTGAGTTGGTAGTAGAAAATTTTGGTAGTGTTATGAACCTGACAAAGGCCTATATTATAGAAAGCCCAAATAGGGCTAACAGCTAAGAGGGAATTAATGAAATATTCGTTAATTATATTAATCCTATTACGGCAGCAATGGATCAACAATTGGACCCCGAATACTCCTAAAAGGCCCAAAAGTCCACTCCTACCAAGTAACCCATCTATAAAGAAATGGGTTAAACCAATAAGGTACACACACTCTAAATCCTCTCTCTTAACCTGTCACTGTGCACACACCACACGTCTTGACTATGTCATTATATTATAGTGCACAATGATCCGCTTATCTTTAGGGTACCTCTCCTATAGGTACCTGAGAGAGGGCAAACAAATCCTATATTAACATACCAATCTCTGATTGGATAGATCGATCTATCAGATCGTAACATTGGCGCCGTCTGTGGGAAACGATAAAATTCGATTCCTACCCAATAGTGGTGAAGGCTCAAAAGTCACCGACGTAATCAAATCCTAATATGATGGGCGCAAAGGACAAAATGAAGCTCATCAATAGCTCAAGGCCTATCAGAGTTCCCAATCTGAGATATGAAAGTCAATCTCAATAAGCATAACGAAATTGAGATTAGACCGTGATGCTGACTATGGCTGAGATCAGGATAAACAAAAAATGAGCAAATCAAGCAAAGAGTAAAAGCTAAGTTTTTCTCTTTTATCTATTCTTAATTTGCTTTTCAAGAAAAGGATCCACCTTTCTAATATTTTAGGAAAGAATCCATCTTTTTAATATTATTTAAGAAAAGGAACCACCTTTTTGAATATTTTATATCAATATTGGAGAAAAGTATCCATTTTTGTGAAATTATTTGAAAAGGAGATTCAATCTTTTAATACTATAGTAATAATGGAGAAAATACATCTCATGATCTTGAACATGAAGGAGACATTGTACTTGCATATTCTGCAAATAAAGATGCTGCCATATTGGTGTGCACGCGCCACAAGAATTGGTATCTTATACTGGTTTACAAAGTGCTCTCATATACAACGCAATATTCATATAAATTGTATTTGTAATTTATTATGATGCTGAATGTACCATGACACCATATACAATTTGACATTTATTTTATGGATAACGTGAATTTGTAAGGAAAAACCAACTCGCGTTGTGGTACCAAGAACGTACAGCTCCCAACTTTGGTATACTAGCATATTCAAATTATTTGGGACATGGATATGAGCTAATGGGAATGTAGCTCATTTACCGAGTTTCTCAAAAAATTAAGCTCAAGATATGAAGGCTTCAATATACCTCGACATCTTCAATTGACAGCAGAAAGGTTAAAGATGACGAGGATTAATAGCGATTTTTTCACATGTGCATGAACGCCGAAGTCATTGCTCCCAGAATCTGATTAGAACCACCAAAAAGTTAAGCATATTTGATCTTTGGATATTATTCAAAATATTTGATATTATCCTACTATCCAATTATATTAATATTGCACTATTGATTAAATTGAATGCTTTGGGAGTAATCTGTGGACAAATCAAAGATTTGTCTTGATTGGCATAATGTATTTAATACAGCCTTTGATTAAAACCTGATTAAATTGAATGCTTTGGGAATAATCTGTGGACAAATCAAAGATTTTTCTTGGTTGGCATAATGTATTTAATACAGTCTTTGATTAAAACATGATTAAATTGAATGCTTTGGGAATAATCTGTGGACAAATCAAAGATTTGTCTTAATTGACATAATGTATTTAATACATCCTTTAATATATATATACACGTGGCTTTATGATAGATGGTCAATCAAATTCGATAGCATGAAATACGGTCAACTAATGTTATTTATTGATTGATGCTGGTCAACTATTAATTGTTGATTACAATTATTATCTGATTACACATGGATAATTACTGATTGTTGATTGAAGCAAAATTATTGCTAATAGCCTACTTCATGCTTTACTATGTTGCATTTATTTTTGCAAAGAATAATCAAATAGGTGGTGTGGAGATCCCTCTAAAAAAGGAAGGAGATCCAGATCCACTCAAATAAAAAAGAAAATCCACCTAGATGAATGCAAGACTTAGGCGAAAGAAGCCAAGCTGAAAGAAGAGCCGAGGCACAAGAAGCCGGGCTCGAGAAAATGAAAAGACCACGGCAAATGAAGCCGGGTTATGATAAAATGGCACCGAAAAAGAAGTGGGGCCCAAATTAAAAAGCCATGCAAGAAGAAGAAGCAATGCAATTCAAAGAGGCAAAATGCTTCTCCTTAAATATAAGGCTTCAACAAAAGAAGCCAAGCCAGAATGAAGACGGATGTGGAGAGATCCAGTCCAAGATAAAAGTTGAAGAAAGAAAAAAATAAAGCAATTCAACCATAGAACCGAGTTCAAATACTCAAAATATAAATTAAGAAAGAACTCGACCAAGGGCCCTGACATCTGCAAGGCCAACCAACCAGCATTCAAACAGATGTGATGGCTAGCAAATACAAAGTTGACCAGCAAAAAATTATAGGCCAGGTGAATAGAAACTTACATCAATGGTTAGACAGTCAATATTTAAATTTTTATCAGTATATTTGATACATTAATTTGTGATAATGATATGAGCACACTAACAATTAATGGGCGAAGCCCATTTGCAAGTGCGTTATCTCCATAATTTCAGGACATGTAAAGGAAATTTGGGCAGTTAGCATGCCTTATGTATAAAAATCATAAAATGATGATCCAACAAATTTATTCCTCCTTAAAATGTTCTAGCAAAGAAACAGCAATAGGGCCATAGCCCCCAATAAATAAGCAAACTGGCCATGCAGCCGAGTTCCAAAAACTTTTGACACTAAATTCAAAGATCAAAAGCATTCTGATCACAGCATCGGGATCCGAGATAAAGAATAAAGACTGGATTAGAGAGATGGGATCTTGGCAAAAAGATCACATCATAATTTGAAATATAAATATGAAGACGGATTGCAATCCTTACGACAGGATGGCACCTAAATCCGAGATAAAGACCGGCCCACCGAGATATAAATGGTTGTTAAATAAAGACCGGCCCTCTGGAATATAAATGGTTGTGAAATAAAGATACGAGGTACAAATTGGAAATAAAATGAAGACGGATATGGCGAAATCCAATCCGAGATAGAAATAAAGATCTGAGATACAAATCGGAGATAAAACGGAGATGGATATGGTGAGATCCAATCCAATCCAAGTTAAAAGC